ACGATGTCTCTTGTGTTGGGTAAGACCTCTCTGAGACAGAAATGACTCGGTGCACTCCGGGCAAGGAAAAGGACCCGGAGCCCGGGCCCCAGGACACTTCGGGATGTGGCACAAAAGGCGTGTTTAGTCGTGTAAGCTTTTCGGCATTTACGGCACTCGAACGACCCCAAACGACGAGTGCTTCTCTGCATGGTTGCTTAATGCGTCATTTAAACTCAATGAGAGATAACGCGCTCTATCCTTCTCGGTACATAAGGGGCAATTCGTAGGCTCAAAGGGCAAAAGAATAATCATAGTCCGTTGGAGCGCTTGGTTGTCCATCTGTGGTCCCCTTCAATTCCTGACGCGCGGGACATTGCGCGTTAGGTCCGAGGCTTTAAGAGAGTCATAGTTACTCCCGCCGTTTACCCGCGCTTGCTTGAATTTCTTCACGTTGACATTCACAGCACTGGGCAGAAATCACATTGCGTCAAACACCCGCGAGGGCCATCGCAATGCTTTGTTTTAATAGACAGTCGGATTCCCCTAGTCCGTGCCAGTTCTGAGCTGAGCGTTGAATGGCGGCCGAAGAGGACGACCACGACGGCTCGCGCCGCCACGGAAGCCTCGCAGCAAGGAAGATCCGCGGGAGGCCAAGGCACGGGACCGAGCTCGGATCCCGGGACCGGCGCGAGAACGCTGACCGTTCACCTCGCCCAGGCCGGCACGTCAGCCAGACCCGCTTCCCGACTAAGCCCGACACGCCCGCTCCTCAGAGCCAATCCTTATTCCGAAGTTACGGATCCAATTTGCCGACTTCCCTTACCTACATTATTCTATCGACTAGAGGCTCTTTACCTTGGAGACCTGCTGCGGATATGGGTTACGAACCGGCGCGACACCTCCAAGTGTGGCCCTCTCCTGGATTTTCAAGGTCCGAGGGGAAGATCCGGACACCGCCGCAACTGCGGTGCTCTTCGCGTTCCAAACCCTATCTCCCTGCTAGAGGTTTCCAGGAAACTCGAATGCTTATACAGAAAAGAAAACTCTTCCCGGATCTCCCGACGGCGTCTCCAGGTCATTTGGGTTACCCCGACGAACACTCTTACAAGGGCCCGAATTGTATGCGGTTCCGCTGCCGGGTCCGGAATAGGAACCGGATTCCCTTTTGCCCGACGGGCGTGTGTGTCTTTCGTATAATATTTATTATTATTTCTCGACACTCGAGTATATTGTACGCCGTCATTGACATAGGATTTCTCCTAGGCTTAGGATCGACTGACTCGTGTGCAACGGCTGTTCACACGAAACCCTTCTCCACGTCAGTCCTCCAGGGCCTCGCTGGAGTATTTGCTACTACCACCAAGATCTGCACCGACGGCGCTCCAGGCAAGCTCGCGCCCAGACTTTTCTGCGCTCACCGTCGCGACCCTCCTACTCGTCAGGGCTTCGTGACGACGCGAGAGAAGACTAACGCCCGCTCCCGGTTGCCGCCCCACTTGCCACTGACGGCAGAGTATAGGCTCGACGCTTCAGCGCCATCCATTTTCAAGGCTAGTTGCTTCGGCAGGTGAGTTTTACACACTCCTTAGCGGATTCCGACTTCCATGGCCACCGTTCTGCTGTCTTAAGCAACCAACGCCTTTCATGGTGTCCATGAGCGTCGAGTTGGGCGCCTTAACTCTGCGTTTGGTTCATCCCACAGCGCCAGTTCTGCTTACCAAAAATGGCCCACTTGGCACTCTGATTCGAAGATGCTCGTGGCTTCATAATTCAAGAAAGCCAGAGATCTCACCCATTTAAAGTTTGAGAATAGGTTGAGGTCGTTTTGGCCCCAAGGCCTCTAATCATTCGCTTTTACCAGATGAGACTCGCGCGCGTTCCGTGCGGAACGGCCGAGTGCCAGCTATCCTAAGGGAAACTTCGGAGGGAACCAGCTACTAGATGGTTCAATTAGTCTTTCGCCCCTATACCCAGTTCCGACGATCGATTTGCACGGACTCCGCGGGACATCGCCGACCGACGCGAAGCCAGCGCCGCTGACGATGAATCTCCCCGTTCGATCTTTTGGGTTTCTTAGGTTTACCCCTGAACGGTTTCACGTACTCTTGAACTCTCTTTTCAAAGTTCTTTTCAACTTTCCCTCACGGTACTTGTTCGCTATCGGTCTCGTGGTCGTATTTAGCCTTAGATGGAGTTTACCACCCACTTAGAGCTGCACTCTCAAGCAACCCGATTCTAAGGAGAGATTCTCCGAGGCGCGCACCGGTCGCTACGGGCCTGGCACCCTCTACGGGTAAGTGGCCCCATTCAAGATGGACTTGGACGCGACGCGGCACCTCGGGATAAGCGGATCCTTTCGAACACCACATTTCCCTGCGGCGGAACCGCGGGATTCGGTGCTGGGCTCTTTCCTGTTCGCTCGCCGCTACTAAGGAAATCCTGGTCAGTTTCTTTTCCTCCGCTTAATAATATGCTTAAATTCAGCGGGTAATCTCGCCTGCTCTGAGGTCGTCGCATAGTGAGTTTTCGTAGCCGTTTGCCTCCTCCGCGTCGCTCATCGTCGTCTCTCCTCTATAATATATAAGAGGGAGAGAGAGAGAGCGTCGACGAGAGAGAGAGCAGCGGCAGCACACGAAATACGCGAGAAGGCAAATCGCCGGGGCGCTAACCGCACACACACTCGTTGGTGGTAATGGAGACGATATATCGCGGGGTTCGAAATTCTCGGCTCTCCTTTCTCTTTTTATACGAAATTCGGGCGGAATCGATTCGACGAGTACACGACGCGGCGCGCCGGTCCTTTTTTTTTGCTTTACGAAAATTTCGTGGACTCGGACACGCGGTCGGCTCGCGATTCAAAACCCTTCTCCGTAAAGAGGTAAAGGATTACGAATGCTCTCTCCGCCGGACGACGACGCGCCGTATATTCTCCGTAATACCGTTATGTGTGCGGGCAAGGGCGCCTCGGCATAAGACGCGCGAGCGCTATCGCACCGAGAGACGCGGCACAGAGTGCGAGAGCAGTCGGTCAGTCTGTGTGATGTACGGAGAGGAGAGACGGTGAGACATGCGCTACCTACTTTCGGGAGACAACGACGCACGCGCCGCTCTAGGGAAAGCGGTGCCATTCACCGCCCTGACCCTTTTTTTGGCCGTTTGTTGCTCCCTTCGCGCGCGCTCTTACTCTCATCCCATTTCTCCTCGGCTCTCGCGTACACACACGACTTGGATACACAAACACGCTCCCCCTCTTAATTCGCGCAGCATTCTCTGGGCGCGCGTTCGCCAACGTTTACACGCTTGTGCGCTTCTCTTTCTCATTATTATTTCGGTGTGTCATTTCAGACGACGCAAGGATTTGCGCCGCGGCTGGTCGGCGCGGCACAGACACCTCGGGCGAACGTCCAACGATCGCTCGTACGCCCATTGTAAGCGTTGCACAGAGCACAGGCGACGCGCGCGCCATTCTCTGGTCGCCCGCGTCGTGGCCGTGCGCGCTTTTCGGGCGCAAGCAGTTTAGGGGTACTAAAACGACTCTCAGCCAGGCGTGGTCCGGGAATTGTATCCGTGGACCGCAATGTGCGTTCGAAATGTCGATGTTCATGTGTCCTGCAGTTCACAATTGTGCGAGAACCTTCGATTTGTTTTAATTTTCGCGCAGAGGCAAATTTATTTATTTATAAGTCGGCTCGTAGATACGAAGGAGACTGGATGCGGAGAAAATTGTAAAGGTGGAGAAATTCACTTTTGAGGCAAAGCAGTTTTATTCAAAACTCTCGCAGACAAGATTAAAACGCGGAAGTTCGCTCTAGAACGAGATAAATTCGCGCGATGCTCTTTTCGCTGATATACACGGAGACGTCTCTTCAGTTCAGACTCCTCGAGTAGACTCATTTTTGATCCTCGCGGAATTCGGCAGCTAAGGGGGCGATCGATCATCCGATCGACGCGTGGCACACGTGCTGAAATCCTATTCGCGGACGATTGCCCCATCACGCTCCGAAACGCGAGACAAAGGCGAGTTTTTGTAGATTCCTCGCTCGCGGAATCGAAAACAACCGGAATAACATCTCGGCGTCGAATATTTTCAATTTCTACGATTAACCTTGCTTCGTCGCTCCGAAAATACGTGACAATTTTAAACATACCGCCCGCCTCGCATTTGAACGTATGCGAATATGCGAAATATAGCCAACGGTAGTCTTCAACGTACGATGAAGACAATAAATCAATTTTCAATCAACCAAGAAATCAAACAAGAGATCAATGCAATAATTTCTTGCGATCGAAAACGAGGGCAAGTAATCAGAAGGTGAAAAAACCTTTTACAATTTTCGAGTAATATTTCTAAATTATAAAGACGCTCTCAATTTTCAATAGGCACTGAGCCTTAGCAAATATTCGCCTCTTTCGGCTGTTACGCAAATACAATTATACATGTTTCGAAATTCTACCGACAATGCGATGGGTCGAATAACAAAGTCATAAATGCGATACCTGGCTCGAAAACCACGCCGAAGAGGAGAATATTGCCTAACATAGTAGATTTTGACGCTAAATACATAAATCACACCCGAAATTTATCAAATAATTACAATCTAAGTTTAACGCAAGTACAATTTTCAAATATTGCTATTGATTGGCAGCCGGCACAGTAGCGTAATTGGTCGTTTCAGGATCGAGCTCGCAGTTCTCACCGTAACTACTCGCACGAGTCCATCCGAGCCGGGATGAATCTGCGTGACTCGCGCTAGGTTCCACTTGCTCGGAGGGAGCAAGGGATTCTTCAACAAGGCGAGTTCTCCTATGCGAAAACAAGACGTTTTTCCGACCACTTACGCCGCTGCTGCAGGGAGTGCAAGTAGTCTTGTGACCACGAGCGCCAAATCTGTTCGACTAAAGAATGGACCATCTGCCATCGCGATAGTCGATTCGCATTACTTTCGAGCACTGACTCCTCCGGTATCGCAATTATGGGGCGCCCGATCAGGAAATGACCCGGAGTGAGTGCCGATAGGTCACTCGGATCGTCGCTTAATGCCGCGATCGGACGACGAATTTAAGCACGCCTCGATTTGGCATAATAACGTCGCGAATTCGGCCTGTGACAGAGTTCGCGAACCGGCGACTCGTTTTAAGTGCGACTTGAGACTTTTGATTCCCGCCTCCCATAGCCCACCGAAGTGAGGAGCCGCAGACGGAATGAAGTTCCATTCAATTTTGTCATTTGCAAGGATGTCGTGCAGTGACGAATCCTTCATCAAGGCGCTGAACGCGTCGTTCAATTCCTTGTCAGCCCCGTGGAAGTTCGTTCCATTATCGCTATATAGCTTGGACGGCAAGCCCCTTCGGCTCACAAATCGCCGAAAGGCGGCGAGGAACCCAGCGCTAGAGTAGTCTTCGACTAGCTCTACGTGGATTGCTTTCGTGACGAGGCAGATGAACAAAGCTATATAATTTTTTCTGGTTTTTTGGCCTCTGCCAACGAACGGCGTGACTAAGAAAGGGCCAGCATAATCCACTCCCGTATGAGCAAATGGAGACGACGGATTGACGCGTGGAGACGGGAGGTCTCCCATGAATTGGCTCGAAAGTTTAGCCGAGTGACGTACGCAAGGGATGCATTGTCTTATATATCCCTTGACGGAGTTTCGCCTCCCATTAACCAATAATTCTGACGAAGGGTGCGCAGCACGATTTGAACTCCACCGTGGAGTGTACTCTTATGAGCTTGAGCGCGATTAGAAGGTAAGCGAGTTGTCCGCGCGGCACGATTACGGGATGTTGCTCATCGTAGCTAAGAGCGGAGTGTCGCAACCGCCAAGCCAAGCGGAGTACCGAATTTTCCTAAGAATGGAGCAAAAGTTCGAAGGGAACTCTTTTTTGAAATCGTGGCAGTCTTTTGCAAAGTTTTGAATTCGACCTTGAAAGCTCTCCGCTGGACATAAGACAGCCAGAATTGCTCGGCCCGTTTAAGCTCGTCGACGCTCAGTGTCGAATCTTTTTTATTTACGAACCTTTTCCTTCCGCAGTAAGGCGAGAAACCTGTGGACGTAAGCCGTCACTCGGACGAGCTTCGTCCAACTTGAAAATTTGTAAAGTAGATCCCACTCTTCTTCACCTTCAATGTGAAGAACTTTGGTTTTTCGCAGTTCAGCTGAAACTTGCTGTAGTTCATTAGTGGGTCTAGTATTCGTCATATCATGAATCGGCCAAGCCGTTGAAGGTTGCCGAAGCCATGGTGGTCCCGTCCACCATAGCGAATGCGACACTAACTCAGACGCGGATAGCCCGCGCGACGCACAATCCGCCGGGTTCTCTGCCGATGGTACGTGACTCCACCGAGTAGATGGCAAATTGTTCTGTATTTCAGCCACGCGGTTGGCCACGTATGTGTTCCACTTTGATGGGTGCTGGCGCAACCACGCCAGAGCTATCGTGAATCCGTCCAACAATGGATCGGAGTTCCAACTAACTGCAACGAATTAACAGTCCACTTTACGAGGCGACTCAAAACACTACCGCGTTAACTCTAGACGCGGGATGCTCACGGTTTTCACGGGCGCGACCTTTGTTTTTGCTGCGATTAAATTTATTGCGAAGTCTGAAAGCGAATGATAGACGCGAAGATATACGACGGCGGCATAAGCTCGATTTGACGCGTCAGCGAAACCGTGTATCTCTAGCGCGAGAGTTTTTGTGACCTTGACCAGTCCACCGTGGAATTTTGATCATTTCTAATTTGTGAAATTCTGATACAAAATAATTCCAACGGGACGTTAACTCATCGGAGATGAGAGAGTCCCATTCGCAATGTAACAACCACAGCTCTTGAAGTATTATTTTTGCCACGATCACGACGGGAGCGGCCCATCCGAGAGGGTCGTAAAGCCTCGCGATAAATGAAAGAATTGAGCGTTTGGTAGGAACGCTGGGGGTGGTCGAGTTCACGACCAAGCGAAACACGTCTTCGTTAGGCATCCATGACAGGCCGACAAACTTTTAGGGGAGATATACATCTGGAGCCGGAAAAAAAGGTCATCTTTGTGAATTTTTTTAAGGAAAACTATTGAAATTTCGGATATTGGGGTTTTTCTATCTAAAAGTAACACATTCAGGAATATGTCCAATTTTTTAATTAAAAAATCAAAATTGACGAGGTTGTGGTATAATCTTTGGAGCGCCGTAAGAGAAATCCGGGT